GGGCTAGGATTCTAATCGGTTTCTCCTGATAACTTAAATGTTCCTCGATTTTGAGAGGTTTGTAGTTTATTACGTGCGTAGGGTCTGCAATATATTTCCTTAACATAGACACATGAAATACATCGTGTACGCTTGAAAGTGAAGGTGGTAAAGCTAGTTTGTAAGCTACCGAACCTACTCTTTCTAAAATTTCGAACGGTCCAATGAATCAGGGGCTTAGCTTCCCCTTGCGTCCGAATCTTAGAATGCCTTTCATGGGCGCTACTTTTAGGAACACTGGGTCCCACTCCTCGAACACTAAATTCCTACGCCTAATGTCGGCGTAGCTAATTTACCTACTCTGTGTGGTACGCATTTTTTCTCTAATTTTCTATACCGCCTCGTTGGTGATGCGAACCAGCTCGGGTCCTACAATGTGATGTCCCACATTGGTTGGGGAGGAGAACAAATCACCCTTTATAAGGGTGTGGAAACCTTCCCCTAGCAGACGCATTTTAAAGCCTTGAGGGGGAAGCCCGAAGGGAAAGCCCAAAGAGGACAATATCTGCTAGCAGTGGATCTGGGTCGTTACAAATGGTATCAGAGCCAGTCACCGGACGATGTGCCGGCCTTCTCGCTATTCCCCAAAGGGGGGTAGACACGAGGCGGTGTGTCAGTTAGGACGCTGGGCCTCAAAGGGGAGTGGATTTGGGGGTGGTCCCACATCGATTGGATAAAGGAACGAGTGCTAGTGAGGACGCTGGGCCCCGAAGGGGGGTGGATTGTGATGTCCCACATTGGTTGGGGAGGAGAACAAATCACCCTTTATAAGGGTGTGGAAACCTTCCCCTAGCAGACGCGTTTTAAAGCCTTGAGGGGAAGCCCGAAGGGAAAGCCCAAAGAGGACAATATCTGCTAGCGCTGGATCTGGGTTGTTACATACAAGTTCTCGTTCTCCTACTTCGCCCCAGCACGATGGGGATCTACATTATTTTCCATACAACGCTTCAAAGAGTGCCATCCCGATGGTTGCTTGGAAGAGCACAATGGGGATCTACATTATTTTCCATACAACGCTTCAAAGGGTGCCATCCCGATGGTTGCTTGGAAGAGCACAATGGGGATCTACATTATTTTCCATACAACGCTTCAAAGGGTGCCATCCCGTTTCCATACAACGCTTCAAAGGGTGCCTTCCTGATGGTTGCTTGGAAGCTGTTGTTGTAAGAGAATTCCATTAAGTGCAGTTTAGTGTCCCAACTCCCTGTGAAATCCATAATGCATGCCCGAAGCATGTCTTCCAGGATTTGGTTTAATCGTTCCGTTTGGCCATCCGTTTGTGGGTGGAAGGCGGTGCTAAAGTCGAGGCGGGTACCCATCGCTTTTTGGAGTCCGCGCCAAAAGGCTGACGTAAAACGTGGGTCTCGATCCGACACAATTAACACTGGCACTCCATTCAACCTCACAATTTCTTTCACATTAACATACAGTTGGGCGCAATGTATCAGCGACTACGCTTGCTTTTCTAGGGTGGTACTGGATGTCTATGTTTTAATCTTTTACTAGCTCTAACCATCTACGTTGCCTCATGTTCAATTCTTTTTGTGTGAACAAATATTTTAGGCTTTTGTGGTCCGTATAGATTTGGGTCTTTTCGCCATACAGGTAGTGTCACCAAATTTTTAACGCGAACACCACTGCTGCCAGCTCCAAATCATGTGTAGGATAGTTTTTCTCGTAATCCTTTAGTTGGCGTGATGCACACGCAACAACCTTGCCATGTTGCATCACTACACAACCCAACCGCTTTTTGGATGCATCACTATAAATCATGTATCCCACAGAACTCTCTGGAACTGTGAGTACTAGGGCAGATACTAGTCTTTGCTTTAGCTCTTGAAAGCTAGTCTCACATGTATCGTCCCAAACAAAAGGTACACCTTTTTTTGTCAATTGGATGAGAGGCGTGGCTATTCTAGCGAAGTCCTGGACAAACCTTTGATAGTAGCCCGCCAATCCCAAGAAACTTTGTATCTCAGTGACCGTTGTTGGGCGTTTCCATTTCGTGACAGCTTCTATCTTATTGGGATCTACGAAGATTCCGTCTTTAGACACTACGTGCCCCAGAAACGAAACTTGTCGTAGCCAAAATTTGCACTTGGAGAATTTGGCATACAGCTTGTTCCCCTTAGAATAGTTAAGGCTTTGCAAAGGTGCTCTTGGTGTTCTAGGTCCGTTTTCGAGTATATCAAGATGTCGTCTATGAACACGATAAAAAACGAGTCTAAGCACTCCTTAAATACTCGGTTCATTAATTCCATTAATATCGCTGGGGCATTGGTGAGACCAAAAGACATCACCACAAACTCGTAGTGGCCATATCTGGTTCAAAAGGCTTTTTTCGGTATGTCTTCATTTTTAATCTTAATTTGATGATATTCTGATCGAAGATCTATTTTAGAAAACACTGTTGCCCTACGTAGGTAGTCAAATAGGTCCTCAATACGGGGTAACGGGTATTTGTTCTTTACTGTCCTCTTGTTTAATTCCCTATAATCAATGCATAAACGCATTGAGCCGTCTTTCTTTTTGACAAACAACACTGACGCACCCCAAGGGGACACGCAAGGTCGAATGAAGCCTTTATCTACCAGGTCTTGCAGTTGTGATTTAAGTTCTTTTAGTTCTGTTGGTACCATGCGGTACGGGGCCTTAGAGATGGGTCCCGTTCTTGGTTCCAGATCTATTCCAAAGTCTACCTCTCGTGATGGAGGAGTTCCTGAGAGGTCCTCTGGGAAGACATCCATAAATTCATTTACTATGGGTACTGTATCTATGGATTTTTCTTTTCCTTTTGTGTTTACTGCATAGGCTAGAAACGCCCACCCCCCTTGTTGTACCAGGCGTCTCGCTTTCATCATCGATATTATTTTTTGGGTGGTACTTGTGGTGGTCCTTTTAAACTTAAAGGTAAGTCCATTGGGAGGTGAGAATATCATCTTATGGCAGTCTATACTAGCAAAGTTTTTGGCTAGCCAGTTCATTCCTAGTATGACGTCAAAATCTGTCATATCTACTACTTTTAAGTCTACGTGGATGGTTTGTCCAGCTATTACCACTTGTCCGTCCTTTACTCTATTTTTCGTAACTAAGTCTACCCCTGCTGGGGTACCGACCGACAATACATGCATTAAGGGTTCTACTACGAACCCTGCTTGTTTAACAAATGGTAAAGAAACAAAGGAATGGGTAGAACCAGAATCAAACAATGTAAACGCAAAGTGTCCTAGTATAGAAAGCATACTTGTCACACAGTGCTAAATGTTCCCGCCTCTTTACTGGTCGTTCCATATGCCCTGGTCTGTGGGCGGGTTTGTATGGTGGGCTCTCGAATGACCGGTCCTCTAAGGGGTTCCCTTGGATTTCCCGAGCTCCTTGTAGGGCAAGTTCTGGCCACATGACCTGCATGTCCTCATATATAACACATACCTGAGCCCACCAAACATCTCCCAACATGTTGTTTTCCATAGTTACGGCATAAGGGCTTCTCTAGTGTTAGGTATCGGGCTATTTGGGAGGGAGCAGGTAGCCTACTCTGATATCGAGGTCTCTGGAGTGGTGGTTGCAATTCTGTGGTTTCGACCTCGATAGGGCGTTTCCTCCCTGTGACAACCGTTGGCTCCGTTTTTTTCTCCTCCGAGGGTTCCTCTAGAGCCTTGGTCGTCCTTAGGGCCTCTTCATAGGTTTTTGGGTTAAAGGCCTCCAACATGCGGCGGGTTTTCAGGTTCAATCCCAACACAAATTTTTCTGTCTGTTTCTCTTCAGTGTTAGCTATTAACGGTGCAAACCTTCTCAATCTCATGAAGTCCTGATCTGGTGATCCACCGTGCGAACGTTCTACGCTTCCGTTGGTGGTTGGTTCCTATTTGTTCATTCGTCACTTTCATTAGTATTTCACAAATATAATTAATTCCCAACTTGAATTTGTGAAATACGACCTTAAAATGTTCTATTTTACCTTAAACAGGGCCAAAACTAAGTCCGGGAGGGTCGGAACGGTGACAAATGGGTTGGAAATAGGTTTCTCGAGTCGAATAAGTCGCCGCCGAGCCGATTGAGCCGCCGGAGCCGAGGAGTGCCACGCTGCCGACGTGCCATGTGGCACAATCAGAGAGCAACGCATGTGCAGGGGTCTCGGGTCGAGGCGCGGGTTATCGGATCACTCGCGGGTCGAGGCCATACTCAGATGACGGGCCGTTCGCAGGTGATGGGCTGTTCTCGGGTGATGGGCCGTTTGCGGGTGACAGGCCATTCGCGGTGACAGGCTGTTTGCGGGTGAAGGAAAAAAATGCAGGCGGGCTGGCTTAGGAGGTTTGGGCTAGAGCGTTTTGGCCGCGGGAACCGTCAGGTTCTGAGCCGACCTAAGGTAACTGGGTTTGGTTCAGGTTGCGGAATTTGGCCCTCGGGTCAGACTTCGTCCTCTTTGCCCGACTGCCTGCACGTTTTTCTAGCGACCTTTCTCTCTCCTCGATAACGTCATCCCGACGTCCTTTTTCCCTCTTTTTTTCTTCGTTCTCGAGTCTCTTCTTCACCCTAACCTCGTTTTTTGTACAGATTTCGTTTGTAAGGGCCTCACACTCCTGGATCTGGAGAAGTTTGGAAGTTCGAAGTTCCACCTTCCTTGCCGACAGTGTTCAGCGTAAAGGATTCGTCTAAATATCAAATACTTAACGTGGCTCAAGCGCATCCTTGAAATCGACATTCACGTGGATACTAATGCATGAAAAATATCAAATGCTTAACCCAACCTTAATTCCAACCCTTTTTTTACGTCATTTAAGATAACTTGATTTCTTCTTTTAACTAGATTAATGGTTTAACTAGTTTCATGTGTTACTTTGTGAATCTCGCCTCATTTCATTTTCTCTCTCTTCTGTTCTTTGTGATCATCTAGATCGAGTGTTTGTGTTATTGTGTGATCCTATGAACTAGTATCAAATTTAGGCGAGATTCATCATGATCTGTGAAGATCGAAAGCTCAAATGTTGGAATTGAAAAGTTTGATGGATCCGATTTCTATTTTTGGACGATGCAGATTGAAGATTATCTGTACCAGAAAGATCTTCACGAACCCCTGTAGGAGGTGAATTCGGATACCATGAACACGGAGCAGTAGAAGCTCAAGGATCAGCAGGCCTCAGGGTTGATCCGGTTGACGCTATCAAAAAATGCGGCGTTCAACATCATCAAGGAGAAGACAATATCAGATCTGTTGAAGGTACTGTTGAGTATGTACCAAAAAATGTCGAGTATGAACAAGGTGTATTTTATGTGGAGATTGTTCAATTTACAAATATGTGACGGTGAATCTATTGCTGATCATATAAATGAATTCAATATGATTGTAAGTTAACTAAGATTGGTGGAAATTAATTTTGAATATGAAATTAAAGCATTGGTTTGATGTCATCTTTACCAAAATTGTGGGAAATTATAGGTGAAATTAAAGCATTGAAAGTATTCCCATATAGTACAAGCAAATCACAACTAATTCTATAATATTTTCAGACCCTCTGCAATCGAAGCAACTTCACGATTAGGAGTTTATTGATGAACCTCTGATCATCTCTATATTACAGCATAAATACCACTTGCGTAAACATATCATAAAAAGAGATATAGTATAGTAATCTAGACATACCTTCACGTAGATGTGTCTTTTCCCATCATCAATTCTCACATTGCAGACTTTTGATTTTGGTTTCTTCATCAAACCTTCAATATTATTCAATTCAATCGTAATGAACAACAAATCATCGAGTTTGGCCAAGAATTGAGGGAGATATTATCTACTAAAGTTCCTCAAAACCCCAAAATCGTACCTTACATTTCCAAGCTCAATCTCCTTCTATAGTCCCTCTTGGTTCACGAATCCTTCTTGAAAGTGTAAATCGTCCTCTAACGAGTCTATACCAATCAACCACGATCAATTTCATACCCTGCAGGGAGAATTTAGAATATGAAACTCTAAAGCCAAACCATAAAAGTCATCTTAAACTGGAAACAAGTACTCTCCCTTCACAAACCGAGCTCAACTACTGTTGGTGGACGGAGGTGGGGAAATTTGTTCGTCTCCACCTTGCTCCACGGAGGTTTCTACCATTAAGCTAATTTTGGATCAATTTAAATTTAACAAAATAATAATAATAATAATAATAATAATAATCATCAAGGGTAACAACCTTCTTTTTCAATCAAATTTCATTAAGAGAAAATAATTTAAAAATCTATACGCTTTTTAAGTACTAAATTTTTTTTTATTTTCAACCAATTTTACCATGTATTTTAAAAATGTAAGTTTAATTAATTTTTTTTTTCCAAATATAGAATATATTTGACTTTCCTTTAAATTATTCTATTTTTTTAATTATTATTTTATGCATAGTTAAATAAATGGATGACTATTTAATTTTCAATTTTAAAAATTGCTTTTGCTTTCTTTTATCATTTCTTTACCATAAAATCCATTTTTGTAAAGAAAGTATTTAAATTCTAAATAAGATTTTTAAAAAACATAACATTTTTTTAATGATGTTTCTTTCTTTGTGAGTTTTGGGAATATCTCCATTCATAGGTCCGAGATCCACATCTATGAATTGAAAGGTCCGAATGATCAACTCTGCAATCAGTCGTTCATTTGAAAAAATTGAAACTCTTCTTATTGGATGATCATGATACTTCCCAAAAATTGAAATTCTTGATCAATGGAGGAACAATATCACCATTTTTGTTCAATAAGATACCAAAGTGGATGATTGACTCATTCCATACGAGAAATAAGAATCCTTTGATAACACGTATTACTATTTCTCAATGATATCCCACGATCAAGACAATTGGCTAAATCCCGTGAAACCGATCATTTTCATTTTCTTAAATAAACATTTAAAATTTTTGTCATATTCCAAAAATAAAATAAATTAAGGTAACTGAGGTTTTCTCTATTTCCCAAATTCAAGTTAAATAGATTAGAAATGTTAAATGCTAACAAAATGAGATGGACCTCATACAGGAAACGACTCCCGACACTTTGAGCAACTTCAAGGGACGGAAGACAAGCGTACTCGAATTTTGCGAAAACCGGCTAAGGCCAACCAAGTAAGTGGTCTATGATGATGTTATATGATGACGACGATGCATGACAACATGACGATGTAAGATGTAAGATAATGAAATTTCATAATATGACGTTATTTCATATTAAGATTCGATGATTTTCTTAAGTCACAACCCTAGTTAATGTATGGAATATATGTTTAAATAATTATAAAAAATTTCAAATATGATCTATAAATATTAAAAAAAAAGAAAAAAGAAAAAAAAAAAGCTTACAAACAATACAATCAATTCATTATTTATATTTATATAAATCAATATTCCTAATTAATTCATTACTTATATTTATATAAATCACAATAAATAATATTTATATTTATTTATATAATTAATTATCTCTCTTTCTATATTTGTGAAAGGTAAACCCGTACTAATTAATGAACAAATTATTATCAATTATAAGCATAAAGTAATTAATTTTGAATCATTAAATAATATTTTTATTTTAAATTTCGACCTTCACCATCAAAATGTAAATACTTTACACATTAAATAAATTGAACTTATTTTATTATAAATAATAGTTTTAATAAATATGGTATTATGTTGATATAAGTTATTAATAGATATAATTTAAGGAAATATACCCGTTTTAATTTATATTAATTTTTTTGTTGATATTAATTTATAAAAATAAAACAATTTAGTGCATTAACATTATTATCCTAATTTTTTCGATATAAATAAACAAAGAGAAAAAATAATAATAAGATACATATAACCACACTTAATTATTATCAATTATTTTATTTCCACAATGCTTCCAAATCGTCATTACTTAGAACATTTACATCGAGATCGATGTGTAAACGATACGGGGTGGTCGAGAACTAGAGGGAATTGATAGCAATTTTCATCCCAGCTTGGCAGTGGCCTGGGGTGGTGCATATGAAGAAGTTCTGTCCTCTTGAGAGCATGATTTCATCCTTGCCTGAATTGAACACTTTGGCGCCTCTTGGAGCTATGCAGCTTCTATAACCCCCCTCGTCCACTGCCACCACGTTGTGAACTGTTGGGTTATAGTTGAATCCTACAAAAAAAAAAAAAATGTATCTATTCGTTTAGTTTATTATCAACAATGTAACTGCGAATTCGATCGGTCGGATACTATTTGAATATATTTTATATAGTCGTAATGTAACGACCGGCTTTCCCTGAAGGCTTTTAAAACGAGTGGACTTGTGTTTTGATATAATGGCTTTTAAGAACGAGTGGACTTGTGTTTTGATATAATTTATCTTATCTTCAGGATTTGGTTAGTAGAATATTTTCTCTTTTCTCGGGCTTTCGATCCCACTTCTGTTTTTCATTCTTAACATAGTATCAAAGCATCATTCTTAACATATACGATTACGCAAGTAAAACATCAGTTACTATTCAACTATTAAAACGAGAGTTGAAAACTCACTTAATATGTCACCGGCTCTAAACACCTTCCCATTAGGCCATCCTTCCGTGCCCAAGTTCAAGTTCCATCCGTTCGAGTCGCCAACAACAAAAGTTGTAGCAGCATCGCCATGTTCGAAGCCAAGCAGCAGCAGCAACGCCATTGCAACAGCCACCGTGCTCATCGAAACCGCTCCGCTGCTCCCCTCATGTCGAGCCATTCGTGAAGCCGAAGTAGCTCTCAAAAAAGATATGGAAAACAATTGTGTTCCATTGAAGCTTGGAAATGATGGTTATAAAGATATGTAAAACATACAGAACTTGCCTTTTTCTTTTCCTTTCTTTCCTGCGGAGAAGAAGTGAGCCGTTTAGCAATTGATTATGTCTCCTCCTTTGCTATTAAAAGAAAGAGAAACAATCTTCCTCCTTCCTCTCCAGTAACCTCTCATTCCTTCCCCAATTATCTCTCCTCAATGCCAAAAAAAAAATCACAGTTTGCAAAAAAGAACAGAAAAACAATAATTGACAGATTTAATTTGAGGTGCTTTACCCAATTCATGGGACAAGATTTACATGGAGACACATCTGATCAGTAAGATATATATTAAATCTTAATTTTTTTGTCCTATTTTTTTTTTGAAATCACAGCTAATCATGGTTAAATCTTCATTAAATCATTATAATTGTTTAGTTGAGTTAGAAACTAAATGCCAATAATTTATATGAATTCTAGTAAATCACATTAGATTAATAATATTAGATCAATAAATTTATATGAGTAGACAAATGAATAGATTAAAAATAAAATGGCAAAGAAAATTTGTGAACAAAATTAAAAGGGAGTAATACAAATAAAGAGAAAAACAAGAAAAGTAAAAGGCAATACAGTAAATACAAATAAAGAAAAAAAAAAAATAAGAAAAGCAAATATAGAGGACACGAAAGCACAGAATGACTTAAATAACTCTATCAACTTTTTTATACAACAGAAACCATATAAAATAAGATTTTTAATAAAAACATAATCATAGATATATAACATTTCAAAACTTTTAACAATTGACCAATGTAAATTATAAAAATAATTTTATAGAGTTCAAACTTGAAACTGATGTAACGGGCTCACATAGGTTGGCTTGGATTTCAAAGAACAGAATCGAACTTTCATTAATGATAACTTCTGGACATCAACATAAGCTAATCAAGTAAGTGGTCTTACTATCGGCATAGTTATATTTGATGTTGACACGTGCCTCGTGATTCGGCACGTGTCATATATATTGATATGTGTGAGTTGTTTGTGGATTGATATGCTTATCATATGTTATGTATATGTTATAATATGTGAATTACGGTACGATATGTTCAATGATATGTTTGAGATAGGATACGATAAGGATGCACAAGACGAAATGTGACGATAGGAGTAAGATACGTTCATGAAACATTAAGGTTAGGTTACATACCGAAGTGCTATGGATATGAGAGATTCATAAAAGAATATGGTTAGGTTATGTGTAGTAAGGGATATGGGTAGAAAGGGATAGGTTTGTGATAGATTGATAGAACAATAGCGTTAGGATACGTTCATGTGATGATATGACTAAGGTACGTTCATGTAACGACATGATTGTGATAGATATAAGACGTTAAGCTATGATAAGTAAGGGAACGATATGACCACAAAGTGTTTACGCTATGGTATGATTATGATACGATATGTGAATGACGGATATATATATATATGTGGTCATATGATATAAAATATGTTATGGTATGAGATATGTGATAAATTAACTTGTTTATGATATGATATATTGTGATGCAATGTGCTGAAGAAAAGAAAAATGACCAACAAGGGATGAAAAATATTTAGAAAAATTATAGAGTTTTCGAAGAAAATAATAATAAAATATTCGAAAAGTGGCAAATTACCAAAATACCCCTAGAAGGATAGATAATTACGAAAATGCCCCTCTAATCATAATTAGAGCATCTACAGTGACCATCTAAGCAAAATCTTTCGAACCTTGAATCTCAGCCGTTGGATCTCCTCCAAAATTGGATATGATCTAGAAGACGGACAGATCATCACATCCAACGGCTGGTATTCAAAACCAATGTCGGTGAGGCTATGATCGGAGTAGATATTTTCGGCGGATATTCCATAAAATCCAAAAACGCCAATTCACACGATTCTGGAGCTCTCAATGTCGGTTTAAGCCTCTCCTATAAAGTCTGAAGTTGGAGTAACAATATGGAACAAGAATCGAGCAAGGTTGAGAGCCCATTCAAGAGTTATGAGCGTTTAGATTGTGGGTCTCCTACTCTCCGATTTCTTCCAAATTCGAGAGCAATTCTCCACCATTTCTCCCCAAACGTATTCCTATAGTTTCTAAACAAGATTACCCACAAGTTCTATGAAGGAATGAAGTG